TTTCATGGTGCAGTATGAACCTTAACCTAAAAAACTACAGACTTGTTTGGAATAGCTTATAAATAGTTTTTAATAATTATTTACGAAATATGAGGTAAATATGTGAAAAAATTTTTATTGTCAACTTATATAAAATATACTTATAAATGCTCATGACTGCCAATCCAAAGAGCTCTGAGTTTCATATTAAAAGTAAGTTTAAGGCCAGAAAAATATTAAAAGTAAGTCCTGTGTGCACGTATCCATCCAACAGTCCTACGTCATTGTCGTTTAAGATTGGCTCCCAAAGTAGCTGAAGGTTGAAATTTTCAGAATTTGCCTGGGTCTACACGGAATGGTCATTTTATAAGCTTCTCTCTTATGACTGGCAGCTGCTTATATTATATATTTATTATCAAGTTCTTAATAAAATTATGACTATAATCACAATATATAAAAAATATTTAAAACAATGAAAAATCACAATACCAAGCAAAAAAAATCTATTATTTATTTATTTAAAATAATGACATTTATTATAGCATTATTAAAAAATCCATGTATGTTACTTGTCAATTGTATAACACTTTACAAAAAGATATTCAATTGTACTAGATTTTCTACGTATTTCCTTTTCTCTAAAATGTATAAGCTAGTAGAACGGTTTGTTCTATTGTTAAGTGTTAGGTCTCAAATCACTGTGTTTCTCAAATTTACAACTTTTTTCACATACTATTTCTATTATTTTATCCTATTATTAAATAGAATTTTTATTCATAAGGATAGTTTTAATTTTTTTCAAATTAGTTGACTGACTCAATCTAAGGTTGGTTTCAAATTTTTAACTTAGTAGTCGTAACTATAAGGTTCAATTCCATACGGTCTCATATATCAAATTAAATACTATTTTTTTTATTAGGCACAAATATCCTCATGTTAGAAGCAATCTTATTCAAGATATTATTAGACACTAAATGTGGGCATCTCTCTTAGGAAGAATTCAAATATTGGTTCACCATATTGTCGGGACTAACTCACTTTTATTAGACCCAACTCTCGTTGGTATTAAATATTATTTTTTTAATATAAAAGTTAGATAACTAATCTATAGATATTAAAAAAAATTGGTAAAATTAATTAATTGTAATAAATGAGTAATTTTCCCCCCTAAAATGTCATTATTAATCATTTACATTGGAGTCTCCTAAACATAATCATTGTATGGATTACTTGGGTAGAAATGGATAAACACTAAAGTATACTTTTAATCTTTTAAATTTGTTTAAGGTTTCAATTTAATTTCTTTAGCTTTTAAAAGCATATTTTTAGTCTTTTAATTATAAACTATAAAGTAATAAAAAATGATGATATTGATATCTTGAGGGTTGATAAATATTCCCAAATGCTAACATACTACCTCCAATCCTAATTATAAAAGCTAGTTAATTAATTTCAAAAAATTAAATAAATAAGTTAAGTTAGTTATTTGTAATAAATAGGTGTTAACTTTTCTAAAATATTCTTGCTAATCAAGTGTATTGGTTAGAACTACCATTATTAAAAGGACTATTTTAGAAAAAAAATGCATAAATATAATAGATAAAGTAGATTGGGGTCTTATATTTAGGATCAAAATAAAAATCCAACAAGGTCTTACGTTAAAGACCGGAGGTATTATTAAACTTAATTTTTAAAACAACCATGCTTATTTGTAAAAGTCATCATTCAAGATTAATAGTTTTAGAATTAAAATACTAAAAGTATACTTTTTAAAATTAAGGGACCAAATAGAAATCTTTTCTAAAGATAAAGGACTAAATATGTATTTTAGTCAATAAATAGGTATTTGAGATAAAGTGGATCAACATCTTATATTCACAATCAAATTGAATCTAGAATCAACTCTTATATCAAAGATAAAGGTATTTTTTTGAAAATTTTGTTTACAAATTCTCTGCATATTAATTGCAAAAAAAAAAAAACAATTCAACTATTTTCTTAAACATCATAAATTAATTTTTAAAAAAATCTCATATTTAATGTGGGAGAATATGATATTAAGACGAGTCAATACAATAGTGATTAGTCAAAATGTGGAAAACTAACGGAGCCGCGGAGGCATTCATTTTATTTGGTCAGAGTTTGAGCGAGGACCTATGTTTGTCCAAGTCCAGTTTCTAGACCATCCCATTGGCATTAGGTCGTATATGCACACCATTTTTAATATCGAAATCTTATCTTAAAAAGCAAGGCAATTTCATGCTCCTCATTTTTGTAAATCACAAATTAGTATTGAATCTTTGTATTAACGCCAATCCCTTTCCATGTCATTTTCATGTACCTGTTCAGCTTTGTTAGCTAAGTCAAATATATAATTCGTTTTTCAAAATGGTGAGACAATGTTCTGATTGAAAGTTAGAGAGGTATTTGGTTCAACTCAATCTCTTTTCATTTTTTTTCCTTTCTTGTGCCGTACTAGATATATATGAGAAAAATTTTGTCTTGTAGGATGTAAAAGTGATTTTTTTTTTTCCCGAAGAGTAATCTAAATTCCCACTTAATATATTATTGTGAGTCCCCATTCTGGCATGAATCTCTATTTAGATTACTATTATTAAGAGGGTGTTTGGATAGAAACAAAATCATGGTTTTAAAAATATTTTTACGACGTACGAAGTAAATATGTGGAGGAGTTTGCTTCGATATGTGAAAAAGCACTTTTATACTAATCTAAACACCGCTCAAGTCTTTAAGATTCTAAATTGAGAAGATCATTTTGTAGATATCTATACTTTTATTTAATTTTCTAATTTGGTATTTTTGTTTTTTTTCTTATTATTAAATTCTTTAAGTTTACTATGTTAGCATCTGTATCAAGACTAACCGTGCTAACAGAGTGATTATAGGACTAATTAGGGTGTTAACAAAGTAAAATTAAGTTAGGTAAAAAAAAAGTAAAATTAAAATATTTAAAACACACGTGTCAAATAAATTTTTTTTTAAGTACCTATATTTTATTGTAATTTTTACTTTTTTATTTATGCATTTTTATTTCATAATTAAAGCATTTAATTTTTCTCCATTGACACCATCAACTCCTATAATTTTGCTTGGTTGGGCCTATGAGCTCCTGTATAGTGCTAATTGTGCTAATGGAGCAAATTTAAAAATTTAATTAAGAGAAAAACTCATGGATACTGAGTTAAAAATTGACTAAAAATATGACCGCCTTCAAAATTGTTTTCAAATTTTAGAAAAGATAGAAATAACATGACTTACGTATATCAATGGCAAAAGATCCTTTACCTCTTTTCTAGTGGAATGATCATTTATCTTTCACACTTTCATATTTAGCTGGAAAAAAACACGCTTTCATACTAATCATTAAAATTAATCGTGATTTTGTGGGCCCCGGGGTGGGGCGGGGCGGGGCGGGGCGGGTTGCTAAAACTTAAAAATATTTGAGTAAAAACCAAATCATAATTGTAAAAATAATTTTATGGTATACAAAGTAAATATGTGAAGAAGTTTATTTTGATTTACAAAAAAATGTTTTTTAAAAGTACTTCTGAGTATCTTCAAACACCCTCTAAATCCAAAGTTATATATCCTCTCATTAATCTTGTATAGATGAGTCACATTTTAGAAAAATGATTATCTTCCCCATAAGTCAATTTGCATGAAAAGACGGACTATTAATTGTTTTCTTCCAAATTTAACCTTGTACAATTTTATACATGTAAGATGAGAATTTGCATGTGAATGGAAAAAAAAAAGTCTTTTTAATAAAGAAGAATTGAGAAATTTTTTCTTCGTTTTTTTTCAAGAAAATACCAATAATTTAACTAATTTTTCTTGATTTTTTATGTAACTAAAAATGATTTAATCTAAAACCTATTTAACTAATTTGATTAGGTTAAAAAATTAAATAAGTTAGTCAATTATAAAAAATATAATATATTTTTCTTAAAACATTATAATCATTTTTTTTAATGTCTTCCATCTCTCTCTTGTTTGATTATGATTAAGGAAGTATCAATGGCATAGTATAAGAAAAATTAACAAATATAAAAAATAATTTTTATATTTAAAACTAATAAAATTGGACGGATTCCGAAGAATCTATTGACAATCATTTCATCCAAACAGAGTCTAACTGTCACAGCCTTCCAGGCCTCCATATTATAATGAGGAATCGCTGCTTTACAACTTAGCTTTGCCTCCGCAGACTTTTGGTCCAAGTAAGCGCCTTCATAGACCAGAACCACCTCCTTTGGCGGGTGTTGTGCGCCGAAATGTCTTCGTCTTCCTCGTTTACACAATCCCACCAAACACCCTTTTCTTCTTCTTATTCTCGCCAACAATTTTTTCTGTAATTACTGTTAATAATAATCTGTATTTCAGTTGTCGTTCAAGTTGGTTCCCGCTTCATCCTCATCGGCTACTTTAGAGCTCGCCGTTTCTCGTTAATTACTTTGGAGGTTATGAGGATGCCTTTAATTTCTGTCTGTTTCTTTCTTCGTTGAACTGCCCCCTGTTATGTTCAATCTTCAACGTTTTTTTTATTTCTTGATTGTTAATCATGTTATTGAAACCCATTATCTGTATCTGTTTCACTCGTTCTTCCACTTTTTTGTCTGATGAAATTTCACTTTTCATCTGGAATTCGATGATTTGATGATGTTTCTTTGATTGTTTTGGTTGACCCTATATCCCCCGGTCCTTGATGCTCTGTTCATAAGTTTGTAGGCTTCTTGTTCTTGCATGTGTGTGTATATGTCTCAGCCATCTATACTCTAGTCTAATCAGATTGAAGAACAACTTAAGGGCTTTTTTCTGCAACGGTTGGTGAAGAAATCTGGACTTTTTTTGGGGAAAAAAGGGTCAAAACGCAAAACCCCACGATTAGTGTTAGGAATGGGTATTAGGTATTTGTTGGTACTGTTCTTTTCTCTAACATGTATGCTTTTTCTATTCCGCAGGACAAGGCTTAGTGGGAAGGAATTGATTATCACTCAAGTGGATTTTTAAAACTAGAGTTGCAGAATAGCTGCATTAAAATATGGGAAAGCAATTACTTTCTTGCAATTCCACTGTTCAATTTCAGAACAGCCATGGATGCATGTGGGGTATATTTCATATGCTTGATTACCATCGTTGGCATAACGTTAAAAGGGTCTTTCCTCACAAAAGGCATTACTTGGGAAGACATGCAAGACGTAAGCCCTTTTCCACTTTCCATTCTTTATTCTTCTTTAGCCATGGTTCCTTGAAAGTTGCTCAATTCACTATTAATATAAAGAATTAAGGGTGTTTAAATGCTTCACTCATCTCTATTACCTCTCTGCAGATTATAAGAGAAGGAACGCTTTGTCCAATGACGGTGATAGTGAAGCCCAGCAATTTGAGAGTATGGATGTTAAACCCCTACTGGTACTTTGTGATAACCCTTTTCTGACTTGAGATAATGACATGAACGTTCCTTAAGTTAGACAATATGTACTTACAGAACTAAATCTGATGACTTACAGGTTAGGCAACGTAGCAAAAAAGTCAGTGCAACTGGCAAGAGTTCTGTCAGAAAGAGGAAAACAGGATTGCATATTGAAAGTAGGTCCAAAGAAGAAAGTTCCAAAGATGGGATCTTAAGCTCACATAGTAGGCCACAGGATTTTGAGTCTTCTGATGAATCTGCAGTAGAAACTAGTAAACTTGGAAGGGATGTTTTCAGTAAGTTTAAGGAGCATGCTGATGTTGTGGAGGTTTTCAGAGCAGAAAAAGATTTTCTCCTGAAATTCTTAAGAGATCTGGACGTGGACGCTAAAAGCTTTCAAAGCAAGAAAGCAAGATTGACAAAATCAGGGTCATTCCCCATAGCAGCATCTTCACAAATGCGGAATCTTAAATCAAGAAGTACCATCAAACACAAGCAAACAGAAATTTGGGCCTTTCCAAAGGGAGAAAAGTTGCTTGCTGGGACTCGAGCACTAAAAATGTTTGCAAAAGATGGTGCTTATATGAAAGAAGTGCCATTAGTGGGTGATTATGATATGGACAGTGCTATGAAACAAACAGGATTTGCTTTGTCAAGACCTTCAAATGGATTAAATCACAAACATAAAGGGTGGAATCAACTGGTTCTTCATCGTTTCAAAGTCATAAAGCAGAGGATAAAGCATGCTCTTATGGAATTCACAAAAAATGGTTATCATACTTCTCTCGAAGCTTTCCGCCGTAGAGTTTCGTATGAAAATAGGCTTGGGAAAGAGCTGTCGCAGAGTTTAGAGGATGGCGTGATTGAGAATATAAGTTCAGATGAGATTAAGGCCCCTGATTATGACTCCAACAGACGTGAAACTCCCCTCGTAAGAAGAACATCTTCTCTAAATGAATCACTGGATAAATATACTCAATTATTTGAGCGAAGTTTTGGCAAAGACGTCAAGTGGCATAGCTCAAAGTCCAAGAGCTTAAAAGTCACAAATGCAGATAGCAATCACACAAGTGGCTATGCTCCAAAGTTGACCAAAAGGAACTTGTCTCTCCCTAATATTGAGTCCATAGGCTTCATTCTTCATGAGGCCATTTGCGATGCAAATGATGCAGGGAGTATTCCAGCAAACACTTCCTTGGATAATAACAAAAAAGAAGAAACTGATATTCCTGTTCAACGAAAATTAGCAAGCCTTCTTGTGAGCAAAGACAAACCATTCGGTGATATAATCGAGACTGAAGTTAAGGAAGAGGATGAAAGTAGTGGGAAGGATGAGACTCCCAATGCTTTACCCCATTCAGCTGCGGAAAATGGAAGTTCCTATCAAGAAAATGCAGAAATAGAAGTGACTACGGATTGTGGCAATGATATGATGGACATTCTTGAAGCTAGCAGTGAAGACAATGCAACCGACAATACAAGAGGTAATAAATATATGTTCATGTGTGTGAAGATGATTATTTTTTAAGATTCTGTTCTATTTTGTTGATGAATATAATATCAAATTAAACATGTTTGATTGAAAGAAAAATTGAAGTTAACTTTTCGCTCAATTGGTTAACTCATAAACAGGCACAGAGAGAGATACAAGAGGCTCTAGCGTGAATGATATGGAGGCAGATTTACAGAAAATAGAAAGCAGATACCCTTTGGAAGCAAAAGGGATGAACAGGAACAGTGACAGCTATTTCCTGCACTTGGAATCAGATATAATAAATGATTCAAATTTCAAATATGTGAAGCACATTATTGAGCTTTCAGGCTTCATGGAGAATGACCATACTCAAATGTGGCACACAGTGAACCAACCGCTAAAGCCCTCCTTGTGCAAAGAAACTCAATGCTTTGGAGAAGAGATTGGCAAACCAATTGATCATCAGCTTTTTTTTGATATAGTGAATGAGAGTTTGCTTGAAATATATGAAGGATCATCTACCCACTTCCCTAGGCCCTTCTCCTTCAACCTTCGCCTTCATCCCATACCAAAGGGTCATCGTCTTCTTAACGAAGTGTGGGCTCGAGTTAACTCGTATCTGAGCTTAATGCCGGAGTTAGATCAGACATTAGATGATGTTGTGAGACGAGATTTGGCAAGCAATGGCTGGATGAACCTTCAAAGTGAAGAAGAGCATGTAGCACTTGAACTAGAGGACATGATTGTCGATGATTTGTTAGATGAAATAATCTTCTCTTGAGGTTTTGATTAGATCTTCTAAGCTTCAAATCAAATCTAGCAGCTTGGTTTCGTTTGACGATATCATTCTGATATGGGAGTTTCGGAGCCTTGACACATGAACTCTCTTATTGTAGAAATGCTTAGAAAGATGCAAATTCGAGTGATTCAGTAGGGCTTCAATTTTTAACTGACTAGTGTCAGCATAGATGGGAAACAAAGGGGGGATTCTTTGTTCATATTCATGTTGGTACGGTTGGTCGATGTTTTTTTGGTAGAGTTTGTTATGGAGTTGTGTGTAATTTCTATGTAAATAATGTATATGATTGCTGGAGTTAAATGCTAGGATTTGTAGCCTTTTTAAGGCCCTATTTCCAATTCAAAAAAGATGCTTACACTCTTCTTTTTTTTTTTTCCAAAAAAAAAATTATAACTCTTCCAAAATCAAGCCTCTTTTTTTATTTATCAATAATGAAGCTTCAATCATAGAGAAAGAAATCCATATCACCCAATGCTAAAGCATGAATAGTTGCAGTAATTGATAATTAAAAAAAGTATGAATAGTCGTAAAATTTCATGTAACTAAAAGTTATAATACTGAACTGAGTCATTTCATTTCATTTAAAATGGTAATTATATTTTATGCTATAGTATTAACAAAAGCATTATTTTTTTCCCATCTATTAATAAAAGTGTTAATGGTCCAGTAACTATATGAATTTCTTGGAAATCAAGAACTAATAGGATTTCTACTTGGGAGAACTCTCAAAACCATAATTTTGATCCAAAAGCAAATTCAGGATCTAAAGCATTTCAAAGCAGAGTAGCCTAACAGGGTTTCAAAGATCAAAAGTAATTTTTACCTCTAAAGCCATGATTTTGATATAAACAAAATGGGGATAATAGCTTTTGAAAACATAATTTGAGCCACAATTATGGTTAGTGGAGATATATATACAAATGTATGAGGGCAATTAAGTTATTTCCTTTAAATCCTTTTGACTAAATTAGACAGTTTAATATAACAATTAAATTAGTTAAAATAATAAATATGTAAAAATTGATGTTTATCTTTTTCGGTATGTCCTTATTTAATAAAAATGTGTCCTTATTTAATAAAAAAGTAAATACAAGAAGGAAAGAAAGGCCAAAAAAAACTTGTAATTGTGAAATCCCAATTCAGGTACTTAATACTTCAAAACCCAAAAAAAAAAAAAGTGGTACCTAATCTAATATTTTGTAAAGGTAGTTAAGTGACCAAAATATCATTGTTTTAAAATTGTCATTACTGATAAATTTTAGGTTATTTATTATTCAAAATTTGTCATTTTTAATTTACAACGTATTAATAAATAATAACTTGTCATTGTCAATTTATTAAACTTTTTAAAATAAAAATATTTTAGTCATTTAACTATATCCGTGAAATATCAAAGCAGACACAAGTTCTTCCCTGAGATTTTAATGGGTGAATTGGGATTTCACAATTTTCAGGGTTTTTTTTTTCATTTTCCCAAAGAAAAATATTAATAATAAAATAAATGATAAAAGATGTATTTAATATGTAATGTTTAGAATTAAGATACTTCGTGTGTCCGTCTCCCTGACCATTAAACGCCCCCGTAGCCCATTGCACGGCCTCATCAAAGTTCAGAACCCTAACTCTGCATTCAGCCGCGGTTTTCTCTGTTCCGCCATTGCTGTTCCTCTGTCGTCAATACTCGCGGGCGCTGCTGCCCACCATTCATTTACATTTTTCAGGGCGTTTCGTTGGTTGATCAACCATGGACAAGAGCATGTTAGGAGACCTGGACAACCTTCCAGAGGAAGATAAGCTCAAAATGGCTGCCATGATCGATCAGCTCCAAATCCGAGACAGGTTCCTTCACTCGTACTAATATTTTCTGTGTTTTTACCCCTTGTAATTTCATGCATTTTGTTCTTGTAAATCCATCTTGCTAATCGAGCTTGGGGCTCTGATTCTGCGAAGATGGGATTTGCCAGTTTGGCGGTTTAGTTTTTTGTGCGTATATTTGCATCAAAGGTTACATGACCGTCAGATTTTGACTAGCATTCCAATTTTGGGGCTTCACAGTGACTTGGTAATTTATGAGTATCACAAATGTCTTAATTCTTGTGGTTCTCTTCCTGTGAAGCCAGAGTGATGTTCTCCTTAAAACCAGTTCAACAAGCCCATGTTGCACCTGGACGTTTTGGGAACAACATTTTGTATTTTTGTTAGAGCTTTTCCTTTTTCCTTTTTATTGATCTTAGCTGTTATCAACTAGCCTTTGCTAGTGGTTGTCTGAAAGTTAAATTCTAATCCATTGTGCCCAGTAGTCGCCTTTTCTGAGCGCTGAAGGTGCCCCGTGTTGATCCATAGAATGTACATTTTGGTTCTTGCCTTGTTTCTCACAGCACCTCTGATCAAAGGAAAAGATTAGATATTTAAACTTAGTCTACCAGCATTTCTGTCTCGTAGTTTGATTAGATTTGTCCACCAGAAATGTGACTAGTCAAATTTATTAATAATTACTCCTTCCAGTTCTAAATATGCAACTAGTAGAGGGGTTTGTTTTAGTCTTTAATCCACTTTGTTCCCAAATTTATAATTTACAACTAGTAGGGCGACAGTATAAATATAATTTGGTTATTTCTATGCTGCCATTGGGAAGTTACTCTCTCAATCTCTTGGTTGTTCATGTTGAACCATTGCTTTGGTTTGAGATTGGAGTATGATTTGCAACAACGTAATTGCAGTCTAAGAATGTACAATTCACTGGTGGAGAGATGCTTTAATGATTGTGTCGACACCTTCAAGCATAAATCCCTGCAGAAGCAAGAGGAAAGCTGTGTTCGAAGATGTGCTGAGAAGTTTCTGAAGCACTCCATGCGTGTTGGCATGAGGTTTGCAGAGCTCAATCAAGGAGCAGCTACACAAGATTGAGAACTGTAATTAAGCTACGATCTTATCAGACATGGATCACAGGCCCCTTTGAATTTACAAAAGTTAGAAACTCGGCCTTGCCTGTGATTTGCTCTTTTATAAACCGTCGTTTTTTCCCCGGGAGGTTGTTTAATTTTCTGGTCAGTAATTTTGCTTGTTCAATTATGCTTTTGCTCTTTAGATATGAGGATACACTGTGGCTCTTTGAATCTCAGGGTTGCAATGTGCAATGAAAAGAAATTCGTAATGAATAAATTTTGGTTTTATGACCATTGTGCCTCATTCATGGAGATTTTGGTTAGCCCTTCTTCCTTCGATGATTATAAAAAAAGAAAAGCTTACAAGAACACTTACCATAGATGAAGATAATATTGTACTGTAATAAAAAAAAGGAAAATTGCAATTAGGTCCCATCTAAAAGAATTAAATACAAAGAAGTCCTTTGAAATCATGAAATTATTCTGAAATTGTAAGAGATTTTTTTGCTGTAAATTTTATTTGTTTAATTACTAAATTATTATTTTTTTAGTTTGTATTGACGACTGAAAGAGTAGTGGTTGACAATTTAAAGTGTAAAGATTAATAGCTATCGCAGCAGGTATTGACAGCTTATGCATTATATTTTCTAATATGCTAAGAAAATGTGTTGTTAAATATCTGTCGCGATAACTGTCAATCATTACACCTTAAGTTGTTAACTATTATTCTTTCAATCGTCAATACAAACTTTAAAAAAAAAAAATCATAAGAGCAATTTGTAATTAAATAAATAAAATTTATTATAAAAAAATCTCTTAGAATTTCAGAATAATTTTATGATTTTAAGGGGCTTTTTATTTTTTAATTCCCTTAGGGGGATCTAATTGTAATTTTCCCATAAAAAACTCAAAGCAATGAGCATATGAAATAAAATAAATATGAAATTACAATAAACGTCTCATGCTTCGTTAACCCATTTATTTTACCCCTATATCCAAGCATCATGGGAGTAAAATAAAAGGTTACTTTTTTTTTTTAAATTTTCTTATATGATGTACATGAGAATATACCTGTATATATATTTAAATTAGCTTATTTTAAGTGATTTTATGCTTTATGAAATGTAGATTGCGAAATAATAGAAAGGAGCTCCACTCCTAAGCGTGGAATCACTACTCAACCTTATTTGAAGTCTCCCAATAGAGATCAGTTGAAGAAATCCTGAATGGTTCACTTGACCTGGGCATTCCATTCCCTCCCTCCCTCTGTGAGATCAAAGCAGTTTGGCAGTTTCCAAGTGAGTGTTGCTGAGGGTTTTCATGCAAGCTTCTTTCAGAAGCATGGGGACTAGGATTTCAGTAATCATAATATATTTACTACGGTTTCTGAACATTTCTGACTTGAGAAATACTACATCCCCTTTTTTTTTTTTTTGATGAAAAACAACCTAACCACGTTAATAAAAAAATTGGTTAAAATTATTTATGAAAAGTGTAGCTTACAACTCAACCTTGTAATACCTGACATTGACATACCGAGGCTTTTAGGTTTTTATTTTCCCGGCATCCTTTTATATTTAGGTATCTGGCTTTAACTACCTCCTTCCCCTTCATACAAGGACGCGCTACAGAGAAAATCCAATGGCTGCTGGTGCTCAACCACTAATGGAGAAGACAAATGTAATTACGTAACTTGTGCAAAGGCAAAGTGACTGAGCAGAGCTTGTCCGCTTTCCACAAGCACACCACTTGTCTCCATTTCATACATGCAAATACATGTACGTAAACACAATCAACTCATGCGCTCTTCTTCAATTGCTACTTTTCTTAATTTTATATTTTGTGGAACTTACAGGGCAGGTGAAAATATTATTTGTTTGACAGATTCTGCAACAATAATCAAATATAGCAGACGATACTCCCTTCATTGAGAAGTATTAATATTATATGTAAAACATATTTTATATGTTCATCAATTTTTTCTAATTATCCCTCATTGATATTTTCCAAACAATAATCAAGTAAAAAAAAAAAATTAAAATGCTTAAAATATTTTTAAAAAAACTTGTTATATTAACTATTAACTAATTTAACTAATATTTTTAATCTATTTAAATTAGTTAATTATATCTCACATCAAGCACAAGAAGCACAGGAAGAAGAGTATGTTATTGCGGTGAGTTAAACAAACAAGTGCATGCCACTGATACGGATGGTTTGGGACACGGCAGTGGTTGCACCGATTATTGCCCGTCTACTTGAAAATGAAAAGATTTTTTCAATGGGAATGTATTTTGGAGAATAAGATAGAAAATGCTTTTCAATGATACCAAACGAGTCTCTTGCCATTCTTTTCTTTCCCTTTTCTTCGGCTTTGCAATCTTTGCCTTCAGACCAAACCACAAGGCAAGATGCCAGTCTAAGGGACCTCAAACTAAAATAACAAAATTGAAACTTGCAACTATCAACATTGCAATCTAACCAACAAATGCTTGGGACTTGTTCAGGATCACTCCTTCGTATTTCACCTGGAACCACTTCATTGCATCCTCCTTTGTGACTCGGTGCTGGATCCCAACACGCGACTTGCACCTGCGGCGACGTCCCACACGGTATCCAGGGCGCTCCAGAACAACATAGAAGTCCATTCCATAGATACCAGTAGATGGATCGTATCTGAAGTAGAGTAGCCAATTTTCAATACGCAATACATAACAGTTTTGAAGATTGAAGAAAGAAACTAAATTCAGTTTATACTGCAAAGATGGAAGGATTTATGCACACAGCCAACGGACAGAAACCGGCTTAATTTAAATAACAGGGAAAAACTTCATGGAACTGAAGCTCAGACTTTCATAAAAGAATAACTAATTAGCCAATAAAAAGTTAAAAACAAAAAATAAGGTTAAACCACACCCTGTAGAAACTTTACATGCCATTGCCCATGAGACATAGTTCAGCAGATAAAACACAAAGCAGATGACAAAAATACTGCAATCTAAAGAGATTTTCAGCTTACTTGATCCCCAAATCAATATGCTCCTGAATGCCAAAGCCAAAACATCCAGTATCACTGAAGTTTCTTCTCAGCAGTTCATATTCCTTCACCTTCAGACCACTCTCCAAAAGCTGCATTGCCTTGTCACCTCTAACAGTCACATAGCATGCAATCTTTTCATTCCTTCTGATACCAAAGGAACGAACAGTATACCTTGCTGTCCAAAAGCAGACACGAAAAATGAGACTAACCAACAAGAGAGTGCAGCAAGCGTGAACAATAAATCCAAAGAACACTAATTTCAATCGCTGGAAATACCTGAAATGAAACCAATCATACATCTTTCTTTCGAGGTTTTTAAGGATAAAATATGAACACAGATAAGAGAACAGTCTTGAAGATATCATAATCAGAAGTCATTAATTTTTATTAGCACTTGAAATCCTTACTGCTCGAGTTCCGGATCTAAAATGCAAATTTATCAGGTGATGTAAATAACAGGTGAAAAATGCGTCACTCAAATACTGAAGACTCGAGTGGCTACTCCGCTAGTATTTTTGCTTCAAGGCACATTTAGCGTTCAACCAAAAACATATGCCAATATTTTTACAGAAAAAACCATGCCAAAATTCCTTAACATTATCATCAATGTGTAATAAGGACTCATGCATTACCATCAGAATGGTGGCAAGTTCTACAATTTGCGGTCAAACCATAAGATTTTTTTCACAAAGAAAATGGTAAGAAATATCACAGGGGCAGAGCCAAGCGAAGCATAGCAAGGATCCAAAATTCACCTTTGGAGAAAACTGGGGTCTGACCACTAAGCTGCTCCAACACCTATTACCAAAAAGGGTCATTCGAATCAATGGAGCCAAAAGAGAAAAAGCAAGGACCATTTACAACACGTGATGAATAAATACCTTAGCCGCTCTGGTGAGACGATCTCCACTCTCGCCCACTGAGATATTGAGAACGAGCTTCTGGACCTTTATTTCCCTCATAGGGTTTGCCAGCTTCTTCTCTGAAGCCTGCTCAACAAGCATTCCAGATCACTCAAAAGCAGAAAATGACTCATAGTCATGAAACGCAGAAGAGTGAGAGGATGAACAATATGCGTACCATTGGAATGGAACCTGAGCGAAGATTTGCAGCGGCAGATGCAAGGAAGAAAGAATGAAACGAGAAGCACTTATACGGAGTAAGAAGGTGACGGCGCTAGGGTTTTCATAAAACGAAGCATTATTTAAAGGAAAAAAAACAGTTTTAGGGCTTTCGCTTTTTGTTAGCCCATGTATTTTTTAATTTAATTTTAATTCAATCTCACAAATTGTTTAAACTTTATTTCTATACTTTGATATATTGTGCATTTGAATTTTATTTTTTTACCGTACATTAATTTTATTCATTAGGCTTCAAGGTAAGGAATTTTATTTATTCACTGAAGAATCAAATAAAGTCTTTGAGTTATATATTTTAATTTGATATTATAAAAAAAATGAAAACACTTGAACTTGGGAAAACATTTTTTTATATTAAAATCTATGAAAAGAGGGAATCTTCTAAATAAAAAAAAATTAAAGGGATTATATTTATAACAATTGTCCCGGGAGACCAAGATCAGCATTCATTCATTTGATATATGGACTTTAAAACAAGGAAGTTGATTTTAAAATGAAAGAATTACAATGACGTCTTAAGAAAAGAAAATAATTGTTAGTAATTTTAATAATAAGTGAGTAGTCATTATTTAATATTATGAAACTTGTTATTGCTGGTTGCTCTATTATCATTAAGATTTTTTTTATAATTACATTCCTTACTCAAGATTTCATAATTATTCTCCTTTTAAAACTATATCCTTACTATTCTTAGACTAAGGACTTTTATCTAGGGGTGTTCACGAGACGGGACGGGACAGGACTTTTGTCGTGTGTCCTGTCCCATCCCATCCCTTTTTTTTTGCCCCCTAAATTCAGGTTTGGACCTTTTCTGAATTGGCTTGATGCTTTCTTTTTTTTTTTTTGGGAGCAACTGTATTTCAAGTTAATTTTGGGCCTTTGCTTGCTTTTTTAACAAAAACTCCTCTCCTTGTGCGGAACGACGAGGAAGAGGCGCGCCTGAAGGCAGAGGCGCCGAAGCCGTTGAGGTCGCGGGAGAGTTCAGTACAGAGTGCAAGCGCAAGATAAAAAATCCGACGAAGAACGCTAGCGAGACAGTGGTCCGGATTCAAGATCCAAATGTGACTTGAGTCGGGGAAGGAGTGACCACAGACCTTCTCACGAAACGATGAGGAAGAGACGGGCAGCTCTGAAGCCAACGGAAGGAAAGAGTTGGACTGAGATCTGAGAGGGGCGAGAGCAAGAGCGGCAAGGAGGTCGCGGGAAGGAAAGAGTTGTACTAAGATCTAAGAGGGGTGAGAGGGCAAGAGAGGCGCGGCTAGTATGAAGTATGAACTATTGGAAAATTTTAGGGCTTAGGAGACGAAGGGAGACCAGATAAATTGAAAATTACAAATTGTTTTTTTTATAATATATATCCCAGGACGGGATGGGACGAGACAACCCCGTCCCGTCTCGGGGGTACATTCTGTCCCGTCCTGGTATTGTCCCGTCTCGTAAATTTTTTTGTCCGGTCCCGTCCCGTCCTAAAGTTACCAGGATCGGGATGGGACAATTTGAACACCCCTACTTTTATCTTCCCGTTGGTTTTCTTTTTAACCTTTGTATTTTAATTTTAGGGTTAATACAATTTTTGATCTTTCAAGTTTATTTTTATTTTGATTTTGGTCCTTCAAATTTATTTTCATTTATAACATTAATCCTTATAATCTAATAAAAACTTGGACTAATTTGCCCCTTTGAAGGACTAAAACTAAAATGAGGATAAACTTGAGGGACCAAAGATTATATTTATACTAAATTTTATTTGTAGTTAGTTTTTCTTTTATCAAAGAAAAAATTAGAAAGGAGGTCGATGCCCCTTGAACAAGTCAAAAGATTTTTTTTTTTGGTCAACAGTTGAAAATTTTTTCATTGTTTAAGTTAATCAAAGTTTTAAAACTATAATATTGATTCTGTTCTTCATTATTGAAAATGGCATGGTTAGGAGGAAAGGCATCATCAATCACTAACAAAGATCAAACTCAAAACACTATTGCATAAGCTTAAACCAAACGCAATTTGTCTTGTCTAGATAATTCAAGCAAAAACAAAGATTATCGTTAGTAGTTCGGTAACATAATGATATGAAAACTCCCATTGAAATGGAAAGTTGCAAATTCGGCTTCTTTTTTTTTTTTTGGGGTAGACACAGATTTTTTTTTTTAATTGAAGACAATCCTGCTTGAGCCATTATCAAATATTAAATATGAGCATCGAGAATTTAACTTTTGATTCACCGTATTATGAAAGACTAGTCTTTTCAATTTAACCTAACCCTGGGGCAAGTTGGATTCTACTTATAATGTCAAGTTGGGGGTGGGGGACAGAGAACAAAAATCCAACCACTTTTGGTCCAACCTGATCCGCAGAGCATGATCCAACCACAAGCTTGGTCAAACAGGCTTGTTTTAACCTGACCATTATTTGGAGTCGTGATTGGATTGCTATTACTTTAACCACTGTCTCGACTATTTTGATTTCCAGTGCTTCCCCCCTCCACCCCCCGGGGGGGGGGGGGGGTTCTTTTTGTGGGGTGGGGATACAATTATGTTAATTGTGATGGATCCAGGTTCGTTTCCTTTTCAAATCAAAAGATTAGATGAGCAGAAAAGAGTGCGGTAAATGGGCATATCAAACAGAACGATACCTTCAATCTGGTCGGGTTTGTCATTGGGGGGGGGGGGGGATTCTAACGAAATTAGAGCACAAATAAAAGCAATCGAAAAAAGCTATCATATTCAAGGAAAACTTGTCAAGAGCTAAATAAATATAAGAAACTCCTAAAGGGGCAACATTTAATCAAAATTGCTATATATTACATCTGCATGATCAATAAGGAACCTGGATATTGCTCACGCTATTTTGATGCTACTCCACTCTCACTCAAGATTCAAATTTTAAGAAGAAACAAGCTCAAAATTTTGGGATAGAATTAGACAAAAATTACTAAAAAGACTCCAAAATCAGGAGAAGTGTATGCCAGCTTTGTTGAATAAAGAAAGCAAATATAGGAATTCCTGCAGACTGAGCTTGGATGACCTCTTCTCTTCAAAATCTCCCTCTTTTAGAACACCCATAACCTTGTCCTTAAATTCAGATTGCACTTCTTCAGCATCACCGTCCCCACCTTCGATCTCCATTTCATCATCTTCATCTAATCCATCATCCATTCCCATGCCTTGATCTTCCGTGGAGTTGCCAAAACCAGAGAAGTCCATTTTCGTATCGTTTTGCTCTGTTAAACCTTCTTGTGAGAGCTTTAGTGATTGTACAGTCTTGTAGTTCTTTTCCAGCAAGGAGATCACATTCTTCTGCCTAAAAATTGAACCAAGTGTCTTGTTCTTTCTATTAAAACAAATACGCAAAAATCCATCCCATTCCTTCTGCTTAACTTCAATTCGAGGTTTCCTCGGCTCAATTCGCACTACAGAGGAATCAACCTTTGGGGGAGGTCGGAAATTGTTTTTTCCAACTTTGAGGAGGTGGGAGACTCGAGCAAGGAGTTGAGTATTCACAGTGAGACGACAATAGAGCTTGTCACCAGGCTGAGCAACCAGTCTCATGGCAAATTCTCTCTGAAACATAATAATTGCACACCTAAATGCAGGTTGGTGGTTGAGTAACTTGAATGTAAGCGGCGAAGATATTTGATATGGAATGTTTGCCACACATATGTCAAAATAGGGAAGTTCAGTCTTAAGCACGTCACCTTGCATAACCTAAACAGAACACAAAGGGAAAAAAAATATAAGATGCCTAGTCATATCAAATATAAAATATAAATTATATTCCATTCTCAGATATTTTGAGGGTTAGACAAGCAAGGGGAAAAAAAATAAAGTGACAAGTTCCTCACAGTCAAACATCCTTTTTTCTTTTTTCTCTTTATTTTAACTATTTGTTTGTCTATAACGGGAAGCTGCTGCTATCTCTTGAAGTTAAGACTACTAGGAACTCTATCCAAATCCCCACCCATTTCAACTTCTTGAGCTAAAAGTATAGAGGCTTGTCAAACCTGTCTTCATGAAAGGCAACCGAGTAACTACTCAATAAGACAATTTCTTCGCACTATAGTCTAATAAGATCATTTGATGAAAGCAAGTACAGAATAACAGATTGCCACTTGTTGCAAAATGACATCAAAAGGAAAAGGGATTATTAATATACATAACATCACTGGAATCATGGTCAGCTCCTCCTTCACCAGTTTGACGTTGGAAAAGCCCCCAAAAAAACAAGGGAAAAAAAGGCCGAACGCTCAGGCATTGTATCAGTGGTAGTGAGGTGACTAATCATGAGCATCCACAACTACATATCCAAGGCCTTTAAACTGTTATAGCACACAAAATAAAGGACCAAACAAATGTTCCGTAACTCATAAGAAGCAACACTTATGTATTGATGAAGCCTCTATCTCTAAATATAACGATAGCCATGTCTTGCCTGGAGTCGGATATCATCTTATTCAAGTGCAACTTCCTATAAATATATTAAAAATGGACTTGTACCTAGACCAACGACTAACATTCCAACAACATGGGCAGATTCTAAACAGCCAAACGTATAAACTATTAAAAAAACCCGTTTCTAGTGACCTATCCACAAATTTCAATGAGGGAAAAGGAAAGCTCTCAGATTCTTATGTCCAACAATATCGTTAAACCAATGCCTAACAGTACAGCAAGTGTTTTCACGAATGGCCATAACACAGATAACCTAGAAGGCCTTTCTCTCTTGAGATTTCTCAGATATTTTTAATCATCTAATTAACAGAGGGAAAGAACTTAACCTTAAGGCGGCTGGAGTAGGGTGTTCCCTGGAATCGTCTTTGAAGCTCGAGAACCATACGAGGGTCAATCTCAACAGCAATTACCATCTTTCCAGCTTCCAATAACTTCTTCGTAAGATTTCCGGTCCCAGGACCGATTTCGAGGATGACATCAGTGCTTTTGATGCCAGATTTCTGGACTATGGAATCCACCAGCAAAGGGTTCTTGAGGATATGCTGACCCTTCGATTTGTGAAATGATATACCGCC